ATATTATTGCTTATTCTTTGTTTCCAGTTACAGTACTGGTGTATGTCATTTGTGGTCCCTATCAACTAAGGAGTCAGTATTAGCCCCTCCCACTGGATCCACTCCCACATGCTCTGCTCTCTGTAACTCAATGGGATGTCACTGTGATGCTAGCGGTAAGCACATGTACTTTTCTAATTAATAATTTTTAAATTTATCACCAGGAAAGTGTACCTTGTTTAGTTTAGAAGATTCTAAAGTAAATTATACTTGTAAAGTAAATGAAAGAATTCATTCACTTGATATGGCAACTAATGGCGGGCACTATGCTGTTGCTTTTGCTTCAGGTAAGACAATTACTGTAAGGAGGAGTGATGTGGATCATATTACATTTAGTACATTTGTAAATGACGCTATTGTAATTCACAGTTTTGTTGAATGAACTTTTTATTGTTTGTGACTTTTTGCTTTTTGCCATTTGTGCATATTGTATTATTCACACAGTGGAGTGATATAGAACACTCTAATGAAGTTATGACGATGCTCTTTCTATTACTGGTTTTGCTGTTAAATTCTATCAGTTGTTATTAAATGTTTTACTAGTTTGTAAAAGTACATGTAATCAAAGAAGTCTAGTGTAGCAATAATAGTAATTTTATTTAGCATTTATTTTTACATTTAATAGCATTTATACTTTTAATAAAATTGATACACAGTATATTTTATACTTTTTAATAGGTGGTAATGATTCCTTCTCATCCCTTACCCTCCTCATTAATAAAGACTCTTCACTAAATGATTGGTATAAATCAGCTGTACAACTTCCTAGTTCGGCTCAATTTAATAATTTCCACATCAATAAAGTGTCACTCGCTTTTATCAGACAAAGAAAATAGTCCATTTCTATTGTTGTATTCAACTCATTCACATTTGGTGTTACAGGTATACACATTGTGTATAGTACCTTTACATGCACCATTCATTAATAATTATTTTGTATAATTGTAATTAAAATATCCCCCAAGTCCCAACTAAAAAGCAAGCATGATTTCAACTTTCCTCTTTATACATGTATTAGCATTCACAGCTAGTTAGCATGGAAGTGTTGTGATATCCTGCAGACTATAGCCAATGAGTACATGTATACTTTAAATTTTCAAGAATCATTAATATTTTAAAGTATCATTTGCTTCCTTTACAGTCTCCATTAGAGTCATTCCTTAATGCTACTCATTTCCTTGGGGAAGACTCGCCTTGTTTTGTGAACTGTTTCACTTACTCCCATCAATCCTCAACAGTTGCCTGTGGCTCTATACATTATGGCTCTCATGAGGTATTAGTGTCTCTACTTAATATTGGACCCTTTTTGTTTTATTCAGGTTCGTCTCTTTGATATTATTTCTGGCGTCAATAAAGAAAGCTATCGTGGGCACTCTGGAAGGATCTGCTCCTTATCATTTGACAGAGGTCAGAATAATAGACTGATATCAGGAGGAGAAGACAAAAAGTAATGTTAAACTATGCTAATAGTATCGATAGAACTAGTAGCTGTACTAAAACATTAAGGGGCAATCCTAAGCAAGCAAAGTATTGTACATGTACATGTTTTGATGCAGTAGATCCTTGATGTAGTGACAAGAGGGTTTTCTATAGGATTTTGGCAT